TTCAGTACAGCTAGTTACCTGTATGTTTGAAACTCGAGCGTTGCGGTGTTTGGGTGTAATGTATACGATTTTAATTTTCATTCCTTGGTACTTTATTTTTGAATAAGATGCTTCACTTGGCCTCGTTTTGGCTACGCTAGTTTAATAACTTGTTATTACCATTACTCATTATCATTAATGAAATATAGTCAGTCAGGGGGCTTATTAATATGTAATAATATGTATACTAAGCCTGAAGTGTGAATTTACGTTCATTGTAGCCTTATCCAATTTACTGTAAAAATAGGCCTAGGCCTAAGTGTCAATAGAGTAGTGCCAAAGTGCGAGCCAGCGAGTCATGCGAGCCAATGTGCGAGTCATGCGAGTCAGCGAGCCAGCGAGTTATGCGAGCCAGCGAGCCATACACTTAATTTTTTTTTCAGGTTATCCAGTTTTGCAAACACGTAGGCCTAGCCTATTCTTTGGCCTAGTAGATGTAAATAAATAACACTTTGCCTGTGTAGTCCAATCATGCGCAGTACATATACTTTTGGACTTGGTTACTTTTTCGAATCGTCGATCCGAAAGTATGCAGTGCTGATAGATGTTGTTAAAATACAGATATAAAGATACATACCTGTCTCTTATACACATCTAGATGTGTATAAGAGACAGATAATATGTATACTAAGCCTGAAGGTGGCGCTTTACTACGACGGCCATCTTGGATGGTACACATACATAACTCTGCATTGCTGCGCCATCTTGTCAGCACTCTAGTTGTTTAATAGCTCTATGGTTACAAGTTACACAATTACAGTGAAATTAAGGGGGATTTCTTTGAGTATACACATACAATATCCATTTTACACAACAACAAAAAAACAGCCTCCCTCAAACAAACTCCCCCCTCAAAAACTATTAATACGGTAATTCAATTTTTGGGTAGTTGAAATCTTGTGATGGACGACTTTTTGTGCACAAATTAGTTTAACATCAATGCCCTTTGCAAATGATTAGAATGCACCACGATAGAACGATTGATTGATTGATTGAGCGCCTCTTTGATGGATATAATATACGCTACACATTGTTCTATTATTCTTGTTTGCAACATTCTTCTATTGTCGTCGTTAATGATATATATTATTTTGTTCAATTGTCTCTGTTCTATTGTTCTGGTTTGTAATGCTCCTGTGCTATTATTTTGTTCAATTGCCTCTGTTATATTGTTCTTGGTTAAGTTATAGTCCTGTTCTATTATTTTGTTCAATTGTCCTAATTTTTTATTAAAGATTAAATCGCAATATGCGGGCTGCAAATCTATTCCATTATCATTCTTATCACCATTCTACTGTTCTTGTCCTAGTTTCATATTGTTCTTGTTCTTATTCTTACTCTTCCTTCTCTTCCTGTTCTACTTCACTCACCCCACTACCATTAGTAGTGCTGTAATGGTACTGGGAAGGCTGAAAAAAAAATCATCAAAAAAAAAGATTATAAAATGTAAAAAAAATTAACATGAAAACAACTTGAAATATATTTTAAGTTGTTTTCATTTTAACTTCTTTTACATTGTATAACTTTTTTTTCTAATGATTTTTTTGTTTACTTTATAATTTGAACATCAGTTCTGTAAACTGGTTTAGAAAAAAAAAAAGTAGATTTGAGCCTATCAATTTGGGATTCTAGGTTGG